TCTAAGTCCAACCAAGTTGCTGCGAAGTTCATAATTTCATCCTTCTTTATGACTGTGTAATATTTCATTGTGTATATGTACTACACTTTTTAAAAATCTAGTTCTCTTTTAATGGGCAGTACGGTTGGTTCCATGTTTTTGCTATTGTGAACAATGCTGCAATAAACATACATGTGCAGGTATCTTTTTCATAGAGTGATTTGAGTTCCTCCAGGTATATTCCCAGTAGGGGGATTGCGGGGTCATATGGAAGGTCAAGTTTTAGGTCTTTTCAGAATTGCCAAACTGTTCTTTCACAGGGGTTGTACTAGTTTACACTCTCACCAATAGTGTAGAAGTGTTCCCTTTTCCCCACACCCTCTCCCGCAACTGTTGTTTTTTGAGTTATTGATGATAGCCATCCTGACTGGAGTTAGGTGGTATCTCAGTGTGGTTTTAAGATATGCATTTCTTTAATGACTAGCAAGGCTGAGCATTTTTTCATGTATCTGCTGGCTGCTCGTATGTCTTCTTTTGAGAAGTGTCTATTACTTTGTAATGGGGCTGTTTGTTTTTTTCTTTTTAGCACATTTGAGTTTCCTAAAGATCCTAGATGTTAGGCCTTTGTCAGATATATAATTGACAGATTCTGGATATCAGTCCTTTGTCAGATGCATAATTTGCAAATATTTTCTCCTATTCTGTAGTTTGTTTACTCTGTTGATTATTTCTTTTACCGTGAAGAAGCCTTTTAGTTTAATTAAGCCCCATTTGTCTATTTTTGTTTTTGCTTTATTTGCTTTTGAGAATTTAATAAAAATGTGAAAAATGCTCGACATCACTAATCATTAGAGAAATGCAAATTAAAACCACAATGAGATACCATCTTATACCAGTCAGAATGGCTACTATTAAAAAGACAGCCAGGCTCGGTGGCTCAGCCTGTAATCCCACACCTTTGGGAGGCTGAGGTGAGTGGACTGACTGAGCCCGCGGGTTCGAGACCCGCCTGGGCAACTTGGTGAGACCTCATCTCTACAATAAATTAAAAAATGAGCCGGGCGTGGTAGTGCGCGCCTGTAGTTCCGGCTACTTGGAAGGCTGAGATGGAAGGATTGCTGGAGCCCACCAGGTCGAGGCTGCGGTGGCCGGGAGCAGCCACTGCACTCCAGTCTGAGTGACAGAGTGAGACTCCAATTCAAAAAAGAAAAAAAAAGAAAAGAAATAAAAAGACAAAAATCAAGAGACACTGGCGAGGATACAAAGAAAAATAAACAGATAATGTTGATGGCAATATACATCAGTACAATCTATATTGAAAACAGTATAGAGATTTCTCAAAGAACTAAAAGCAGAACTACCATTTGACCCAGAAATCCTATTACTGGGTATCTACCCAAATGAAGCCATTATACTAAAAAGCCACTTGCATTTATATTTATCACAGCACTACTGCAATAGCTAACTCTTGAAATCAACCTAAGTGTCTATTAATGAATAACTGGACAAAGAAAATGACACACACACACACACACACACACACACGGAATACTACTCAGCAGTAAAAAGAATGAAATCATTCAAGTCTTTTGCAGCAACATGGATAGAACTGAAGGTTATTATTCTAAGTGAAATAACTCAGAAACAGAAAGTCAAATACCATATGTTCTCATTTATAAGAAAGAGCTAAACAATGAGTACACATGAACATAAAGAGTGGAGTAACAGACCCTGGAAACAAAAAAATGGGAGGCTAGGAGAGAGTGAGGAATTAAAACTTACCCACTGGGTACAATGTACACTATTTAGGTGATAGGTACACTAAAAGCCCAGACTTCACCACTACACAATATATCCATTTAACAAAACTGCACTTATAGCCCCTAAATCTATAAAAATAAATAGAAACAGTAACAAAAAAAAAACTGTTCTGCCAGGCTCAGTGGAGTACCTTTTCTATGTACAGAATGGGAAATTGCCCCTCATGAAGTGCTAATAAAAGCCAATTAGATGTTTAAATGTATTGAAACTGTGTTTGTTTTAACAATCCACATTGTCTTTTTTTCCATTTGTCAAATGCATCAAGCTCTTTTCTGCTTCAGAAGCTTTATCCATCCTACTCTTTCTGGCCAGAACATTCTCGCCCTCCATTCTCCACCTGCTTGATTCAGTCTTATCCCCCAAATCTCAGCTAGAAACTTTTCTCCTTGAAAAGACCTTCATAAGCTCCTAAAACAAAACTGGGTCCACCTGTTATTATAACTCTTCTTTATTCTTAGCATGTATCATTTATAATTATTATAAATGTGATTACTTATTTGTGGTGTATTTGCTTAATATTTGTCCCTCAACTTGAATATAAACTCCATGATACTAGGAGCCATGTTTATTTTACACACTCTTATGAATTGCAGCACCTAGTATATTATCTGCCTGGAACAGCTTTAATACCTATTGTCTGAAAAACAAGGGAACATGAGCTAATAGCTTTCCATCACCAAAAAAAAAGAAAAAAAAAAATCAACCCAATCATTATAGAAAATTCAGGAAAGTATGAATGAAACAATAAAAGAAAGCCCAGTCAAACCTTTTTATATATTCTTCTAAGTGAACATATACTGGGATCATACCATATATATTTTCATTCTTTTTTTTCCACTCAAGACATATTTTAAATGGAATTTAGCATTTAAAGTCAGCATGTAAGGTGAGACCCTTGCCACACAGGATCAAAATCACCCTTGAAGTTCCCTTAGGAGGGCACATGTTTAAAGTGAATCCTGTCTGCTCAATAAACCCACCAGTGTCCACTTTTTCCTCCAGGAGTGCAATATATCACTGTGCCTAAATCTGAGCACCTAATGAAATACCTGAATTGTGATTAGGAACCACAATGTACCAAAAAGACATTTCTTCAAACTCTAGAGTCCCATTCAGGCAAGCAAGATAAGATGCTTACACTAAGCTGAACATGGTGGCTCACACCTATAATCCCAGCACTGTGGGACGTGGAGGTGAGAGGATTGCCTGAGTTCACGGGTTTGAGCAGGCTAGGCAACTTGGTGAGACCTCATTTCTACAATAAATCAAAAAACTAGCTGGGCATGATGGCACACATCTGTAGTTCCAGCTATTTGGAAAGTTCCAGAAAGTTCCAGCTTTCTGCTGAAGCAGAAAGACTGCCTGAGCCCAGCAGGTCGAGGCTGTGATGGCCATGACATGCCACTGCACTACAGCCTGGGCGACAGAGTGAGACCCCAATTCAAAAAAAAAAAGATACTTACACTATAAAAGGCAAATGAGGACGACAGTGAACTTTGAGAAGGAGGTTTCCCATATTCCATTTCATACTCCTCCATGGTCATATATTCATAGACAATAGAGTACATAAAACATCTACACATCAAAAATTATTTCTCTCCTCTTTTGTTAAATATATCTATGCGAACTTAAGTTAAATGCATATATGAGAGAATGCTAATGTATGCTAAAATTATTTATCATAGTTAAAGACGTTTTATTGTATTTTTACTCACCTGATTTAATTGTTTATGCTATCTTAAAGTTTCCTTTGTTTCTTGTTCTTGCTCTATGTTATTTTGCTAATTTCATATATATAACAGTGACTCGGAAGATAGATATCTAGTTTTAAAATTCTATTAGGTTGTTTTGATAGCTTTTTTCATATTTTAAAAATTGTGGTAAAATATGCATAAAACTTATCATTTTAACCATTTTAAGTGGACATTAATTAATTATACTTAATTTCAGTGGCAGTAAGTATATTCACATTGTTATGCAACTGTCACCACCATCTACCTTCAAAACTTATTCATTTTCCTAAACTTAAACTCAGTACCCATTAAACAATAACTTCCCATTCTCCCTTCCCCCCAGCCCCTGATAAACACCATTCTACTTTCTGTCTCCATGAATCTGACTACTCTATGTATCTCATTTAAGTAAACTCACTATAATATTTGTCCTTTCCTGACTGGCTTATTTTACTTGGCCTAATGTTCACCCATGTTGTAGCATGTACCAGAATTTCATTCCTCTTTAAGGCTGAATAATATTCCATTATATATATAAATCACATTTTGTTTATTCATAGATTGACAGACACATGAGCTGTTTCCACCTTTTGACTACTGTGAATAATGCTGTTATGAATGTTGGTATGCAAATAGCTCAAAGCTAGGCACAGTGCCTCATGCCTGTAATCCCAGCACTTTGAGAGGCTGAGGCAGGAGGATCACTTGAGGACAAGAGCTTGAGACCAGCCTAATAAATATACTGAGACATTGTGTCTACAAAATAATTTTTTTTTTTAAATCAGCTGGGTGTGGTGGCACACACCTGGAGTTCGAGTTATTAAGGATGCTGAGGCAGGAGGATCACTTAAGCCCGGGAGTTTGAGGCTGTAGTAAGCTGTGATCATGCCAGACACTCCAGCCTGGGCAACAAAGTGAGACCCCGACTCATGAGGTGCCATCTGTTTCCTAACTCTGCATTCCCCTGTAGTGAATTCACAGGGATGCTGCAGGATATTTTTAAATTGTAGGGAAAGAACCGTGATATCTGACGTCTGGTGTACTACATAAACTACTAGTCCAAGGTAGTTCAAAGTGACAACATCAGGTAATGCTATCTTCCTTCCAATGCTATTGAGTCTTTGCAAAGCTGGATTTTGGCAGTTGCTATTTTTAAAAAAGGGAGGAAATGAGAAGGGCTGTGTCCAATCTTATCCCAAGGGTTGGGAAGTTGCACTTAAGGGCACTGTGAACCAACTAAGCTTAGAAATTTTGCCCTAGATGGAGTCCACCAACCCAAACAACTGTATACATATTATATCTGATCAAATAACTCACTCATATGAACTAGAGATCAAGGCATGAAAAGCTCCAAATTTCACTGAAGGATTAAAGAGAACTGAATTTTCATTGGTCATTCCAGAATCAACCAGTCAACACACAAAAAAATCTCAGAAAATAAAATTTTAAATAATTTCTGCTTAATACCTGAATGTGAGCTCTCAACGGTGGTATCTGACTTGGAATCCGGAGATGGAGGCATTTGTCTTAATTGTGGAACATAGTACATCTTCATACTACCAGAAGGCTTATATGGCAATAATAAAGGCTGGCCTAAGGAGGTAAAAATCAGAACAATTAATAAGAAAACATTTATTGATTCATTGAACAAATATGGAGTGCCTTCCACATATCAGGCGGTGTTCAATATTCTTATAATATATGAATGAATTAAACAGAAATGTATCTCTGCCTTCAAGAAGAACCAGAATTCTAGAGGAAGAAAATATTCAGTAAATAATTACCATTCTAAATGAGCAAATTATCTAGTATTTTAATGATATGGAAAAAAGCAATTAGAAATGCTGAAGGAGAGGAATGGGTCTCACATGGAAATGAGAAATTCTAAAGCAAATAAGTGTCTTTTTAAAATTCTCAAAAACTTCATGTTTGGATGCAGTGGTCATTTTTGTTTACTTTTTTTGAGGTAGGATCTCACTCTGTCGCCCAAGCTGGAGTGCAATGGTGCAATCATAGCTAATTGCAGTCTTTAACTCCTGGGCTGAAGGGAACTCCTCCCACCTCAGTCTCCCAAGTATTTGAGACTACAAGCATGTGCCACCAAGACCAGCTAATTTTTAAAATTTTTTGTAGAGACAGGTATCACTCTGTTGCTCAAGCAGTCCTCTTGCCTCAGCCTCCAATTACAGTGTTGGGATTACAGGCATGAACCACAGCACCCAATCTGGATGCAATAGTCTTAAGACTATCTGCTTAAGGGAAAAAGTGGATACATAAGCAAACAGTGGTTGCTTCTGGGAAAAGAAGAAAGGATTGGAGAGGATTAGAGAAAAAAGTTCAACTTTAAAATTTGCTTTGGCAAAAACTTCTTCAAAAATTAAAAATAGAATCATATATAATCATAAAGTATATTACTCTAAATGTATTAATTCAGAGCAGTAGGTAAGTAGTCATGTTTAACATACTCTTCTTTATACCTTGAAATGTTTCCATACCAAAAAAATTCACAAAATTTTACTTTTGACTCAGAGTATAATACTAATTCTTCAATAAAAACCATAAGTTGTGACCTCTATAGATTGATCCATTTGATATGAGTAAAAGTTTAAAATATGCTTTCACAGCTGAGGTTTCCCTCTTGTGTTTCTGTCACCACCGTGAGAACAACTTACCCTAAAATAGCTATGGACCTATTCGCCTCAGAAAGATCTATTTGGAACAGACTTAAACCATTTCAGCAACTTAGAGACAAGTCCAGTCAAACACCAATTGACCCACAGCCTACGAGTGAGAAAAGTAAATGTTTGTTTTTAAAAATCACTGAGATTTTTCAGGTTGTTTGTTATACAGTGTAGTATCACTGTAGGCAATAGGTAACTTATTAAACTACATAAATCCTTTTGGTATGCTTTAATTTCACAATAAAAATACTCAAGAATTATAACCATAACATATAAACACATTTATTTAAATTCAATGTAATTTAAATGCTTAACCAAGCAATTGTCTTTACATTTAGGTATATCCTATCTATATCTGTAGAAGGATATGTTTTTTGCATAAGTAAAAAACTTAAAGTATACTTTGAGCAGGTTTGTGTAAAATATTAAATATTTTAAAATCAGTAAACTTCCCACCTTCATTTGGGAAAGAATGGGAACTTAATTATTACTCTTCTTGCTATTTGGCTAAAAAGAAAAATAATTTACAATTTACTCTAATTCAAAATGTTATATGGTATAAACACAATCAAAACATCACTGAAACTACAGCATACAATACACTCTAAATGTTGACCTTATGGTAAAGACTGCAAGCTGTTCACTAAAATCTATTTCTTCTTCATCCTGGAAAACACTACTAAACCACTTCTTAGCCAGTGGGAAGTGATCTGGGTCACTTCCAGATCTGGCCTGTAAAAACCTGTATGTGATCCTCCTTGGTTTTTTTTCCTTCCAGTTGACTGTGAAGATGAATCCAATGCAAGCTTGCATCATACATTTTAAAGACAGCAGGGCAAGCAGTCAGCCTGGGTCCTTAGTGATTACTGTTTTATAGGCAAGGAATAAACTGCTATTGTGTTTGTACCATATGTTTTTGCATTTATTTATTATAATATATAACATTACCATAATAGAGATGCCAATAATGTATTTGTCTATCTAAAATCAGACCTCAATTACTTCAAGTTGTTATGAATTACTTGCATTCTTATTGCAAATATGAAACAAAAATAACTCAATCACAAGCAGCATAAGTTCTACATGTCACTAACTAGAAATTAAGATAGAAATATAAGAAATCGGTAAAGGTATTTGAGGGGGGAGGGGGCAAGTTGGCGACCTGACAACCCGGTGTCTGAAGCCCTCTGCAAGGGAGATCTGCAGTGGGTCTCTGACTCTCGCCCCCGGGAGGCTG